ATGTATGTATGTATGTATGTATGTATGTATGTATGTATGTATGTATGTATGTATGTATGTATGTATGTATGTATGTATGTATGTATGTATGTATGTATGTATGTATGTATGTATGTATGTATGTATGTATGTATGTATGTATGTATGTATGTATGTATGTATGTATGTATGTATGTATGTATGTATGTATGTATGTATGTATGTATGTATGTATGTATGTATGTATGTATGTATGTATGTATGTATGTATGTATGTATGTATGTATGTATGTATGTATGTATGTATGTATGTATGTATGTATGTATGTATGTATGTATGTATGTATGTATGTATGTATGTATGTATGTATGTATGTATGTATGTATGTATGTATGTATGTATGTATGTATGTATGTATGTATGTATGTATGTATGTATGTATGTATGTATGTATGTATGTATGTATGTATGTATGTATGTATGTATGTATGTATGTATGTATGTATGTATGTATGTATGTATGTATGTATGTATGTATGTATGTATGTATGTATGTATGTATGTATGTATGTATATGTATGTATGTATGTATGTATGTATGTATGTATGTATGTATGTATGTATGTATGTATGTATGTATGTATGTATGTATGTATGTATGTATGTATGTATGTATGTATGTATGTATGTATGTATGTATGTATGTATGTATGTATGTATGTATGTATGTATGTATGTATGTATGATGTATGTATGTATGTATGTATGTATGTATGTATGTATGTATGTATGTATGTATGTATGTATGTATGTATGTATGTATGTATGTATGTATGTATGTATGTATGTATGTATGTATGTATGTATGTATGTATGTATGTATGTATGTATGTATGTATGTATGTATGTATGTATGTATGTATGTATGTATGTATGTATGTATGTATGTATGTATGTATGTATGTATGTATGTATGTATGTATGTATGTATGTATGTATGTATGTATGTATGTATGTATGTATGTATGTATGTATGTATGTATGTATGTATGTATGTATGTATGTATGTATGTATGTATGTATGTATGTATGTATGTATGTATGTATGTATGTATGTATGTATGTATGTATGTATGTATGTATGTATGTATGTATGTATGTATGTATGTATGTATGTATGTATGTATGTATGTATGTATGTATGTATGTATGTATGTATGTATGTATGTATGTATGTATGTATGTATGTATGTATGTATGTATGTATGTATGTATGTATGTATGTATGTATGTATGTATGTATGTATGTATGTATGTATGTATGTATGTATGTATGTATGTATGTATGTATGTATGTATGTATGTATGTATGTATGTATGTATGTATGTATGTATGTATGTATGTATGTAATATATATAAAATATATGTTTATTATAAATTATAATTTATATTAATATAGTATATATATGTATGTATAACTAATATAAGTAATCTATAGATTATATATATATATAAACACTAGGCACAAACTATATAAAGTAATAAAGTATATAGTTTAGAAACCTTAAACCCTAAACCCTAAATTGATAACCCTAAACTTCAACCTTTAACCCTTAACCCTAACCCCTGAATTATATATGTAACTTATAGTACATGTATGTATAAACCATGTATAGTACATATAAACTATATATATATATATATATATATATATAAACTATATAAAGTAAATTACTTATATAGTTTATTTTACTTTATATAGTTTATAGACACACTATGCATAAACTATATAAAGTAATAAAGTATATAGTTTATAGAAACCCTAAATTATAAACCTTAAATCCTAAACTTTAAATCATAAATACTAAACCCTAAACCACAAACCCTAATATAAATAGACTAGCACTAATGCGTATATATTTGTAATAAAAGAGCGGACTTATGTAAACTAATGTAAATGGATTAGCACTAATGCAAATAAACTTATTTTTGGGTTTCATTATTACTTATTCATAACAACAAATAAATGGGCTATTAATGTGAATTAACCTAACATGCAACTAAAATACTAATTATGCAAATGAAATTAATATTACATGTACTACTATTTATGAACCATATAATATGCAATGTGACATACTAATTATTTAACACCTAATTAATCATGTTTTATATAATTTACATTTAAATAATTTTATTAATTTTATTAAATAATTTTATATAATATGTATGTATAAACCATGTATAGTATATATAAACTCTATATATATAACCTATATATATATATATATATAAACTATATAAAGTAAATTACTTATATAGTTTATAGAAATACTATGCATAAACTATATAAAATAATAAATTATATAGTTTATAAAAACCCTAAATCCTAAATATTAAACCCTAAATCACAAACTCTAATATAAATGATTAGCACTAATGCATATGTATATTTGTAATAAAAGAGTGGGCTTATGTATTGGACCTATGTAAACTAATGTAAATGGATTAGCACTAATACAAATGGACTTATTTTTGGGTTTTATTATTACTTATTCATAACAACAAAATAAATGGACTATTAATGTGAATTAACCTAACATGCAACTAAAATACTAATTATTCAAATGAAATTAATATTACTTGTACTACTATTTATGAACCATATAATATGCAATGTGGCATATTAATTATTTAACACCTAATTAATCATGTTTTATCTAATTTACATTTAAATAATTTTATTAAATAATTTTATATAATAGGTCTATTTATTAATTTAATTCTCATAATAAATATTTATTATAACATTTAAAAAGTAATCATATTAATTTTTTAATTACATCTTAAACTAAAAAACTCATAATTTTATTAAAATCTTATAATTTCGACCATAGTAATATATAAGTCAGGTAAATATCAAGTCCAGTAAATATCATATCAGGTCATTAACAAGTCGGATCATTTACAGGTCAGGTTCATCACAGGTCAGGTTGAAAACAAGTCGGGTAATACCAGTTATTTACCAGGTCAATCTCGGGTTTGGGTTCATATCAGCCAAATGCAGTTCGGGTTCGGGTATCATATTTTCGGTTCAATTCGGGTTCAAGTCGTTCTCAGGTCGGATGCAGGTCGGGTTCAGATCCACAATTTCCAGGTCCAACTCGGGTTCAGGTCAACACCAGTTTCGACTCGAATCGGTTTCGGATCGCCACAACGCATGTAAAAAATAGTTTTAACTCGAGTAGGTTTCAGTCAGTTTTACAGGTCCGGTCAGCTTTTTACACCCCTATCGGCAAGGACTTGATTAGAAGCATGAGATGGACGGACACTGTCCCAAAACACATACTGGGTCGCATTGGAACATGTTCCTGGTGTATGCGGATTGCACAAGAATTCGTCGTCTCTACTGTACCAGTTCCACAACACCCTTTTGTTATTTTGGATAAATCATTTTTATTATCCAAAGAATAGATAACTGTTACAAAAAAAACAGTGAGTTATTACAAAAGGATCGAGAACTTACATTCAATATTTACAACAAAACAAATTTCAATAATCTATACCCCATTGATTACAAAGTGTGATATTAACACTATCATTCCTATTAATGCTTCTACCCCGTAATTTGACAACAACAATATCTTGAATGGCATGGAATAAAGCTTCAAAAGATCGTGAGCAGCCTGTAAATAATCTTTTGTTCCTCTCTTCCCATATACTATAAGTAAAAGTAGTCCAAGCTAGCTTCATGATAGTAACGAGTAGGGATTTACCTTTCCATTTAGCACAAGCCCAAAATACGTGATCATCCCAAGAGCATGGTCTTCTTTAAAAGTCATTTAGGTTCAAAACCGCATCCCATAATGAACTAGACAAAGCACAATGAAGAAATAAGTGATCCCTAGATCCCTAGATTCCAAAGAGTCATTGCAAAGCACACATTTATCATCAATCTCAAATCCCATTCTAATCAACCTATCTTTAGTTGGAAGTCTATTTAACAAAGCCATCCAAGTAATAATGTTAAACTTAGGGATATAGAATGGGAACCATATTAACTTGTGCCAACTGATTTTCTCCTCCCTGTTTCTAATTTGAAGCCAAAAATCCTTGATAGTGATAGCTCCCAAAGAATGAACAGTTGAAGCTTGAGACCTCATGTTTAGTAAGCATCGGAAGCTCCAGCTCATATTAATTCCAATCTCCATGTTCCAAAAATCTGAATTTTTGGCTTGAACACCCTTTTGTTGCTTCAACGAACCCTACAAAAATAGAGTCGAAAATTAACTCCAAATCCCATTTCACCATTTAAAACAGTTTTTAGTTCCTTACCATAGTTCGAAGGAGATTTAACGATGTGGAAAAGCGCCTTGAAGATGTCGAGAACCACAATCCTAAGATCAGAATGTTGTTTCTGGAGATTAGCTGCTGCAGAGTTGAGCTTTTTGTTGAACTGCTGAGCGTCGGTATTGAACCTGGAGATGCATCCTTTCTCGTGGTAACCAAACAATGTTCTTGCTAATGGAACGCAACCCAACGGTGGAAGAGACGTGACCCCAATTTTCCTAGCTCCCAGCCCATACATGTTCTGTTTGTCAATCATGGCAACCTAATTTTCTATCAATGGATTCGGCGGTTGAGAGTGAAAGCATTAACTATTATTGTTTTAATAGTTCATATATACTGATACCTTGACGAAGCTTGTGAAGGCATCGATGAGGAATGAGTCGTACTGGTCCGGAGTATGCATGGTTAAGTAAAGGGTTGACATAGTAGTTCTGGAGGAAATCACCACTTCCAGCACTCAATACATACAGTGCATCCTTGATAATGGATGCTGATTTACTACTACCGGCTACTTTTGCTAGCTTTGCTTGGTATTCTTTGAAATACTATACTTGTTGGGTCAATGTGATAGCATGCTGCAAACACACAGGAAATCAGGAACTTCATAGTTATGAGGCAATTTGATGTCAATCTTACGTTCATCATGGCATCTTTGTCATCGTATCCAGATCCGGCTGAAGCGAAGTTCGCTCTAATGAGAAGGTTCTTCCCTGATGCTTCCGGGCTAAGGTATGTGGGTGGATAAGCTGTAAACCCCCGAGTTTCAGCTGCAATAAACCATTTCAGTAAAACTGATCTGCAACATATCAATTCTAAACTCGGACTTTGGTGCATTACTTGTACTTACCAGAGATGTCAGTGGCTAATTTTCCATTGCAAAACCTGCCGGTAGGCTAGTGGTTGGCGAAGTCCCGGCCGTAAGGAGGGTAATTAGCCTTGAAGATGGTGGGGAGATAGTCATTGTTGCCGATATCCACCACGGAATCACCGAATGTCGTGATTGCAGGGACAAGAGTGGTTGATTCCTGTGCATACCCTCTTCTTATCGATGTAAATGCAAACACCAAAAACAAACTTACCTTTCTGCAATAGTAAGCATCCATTTTCCTTTGCCAGGGAGGGGTTACTGCATTGAATCTTTGAGCACTGAGTTGGCCCTTATAAGCTGCCCGCAAATGGCAAGGATGTGGTTTGTCTTGAAAGAGGAGGATGGCGGTTGAGAAGACTCAATAAATGATGGTAACCAATTTTCATGTCGTAGGCCTCAGATTTTATTTTATTTTTCCAGGATTTCCTTCATGTATAGCATATGCAGAAAGATTACATTTATGAAATTTTCTGTCCATCTTAACTCCCCCCAAAAAGGGAGGTAGTTGGATGATAATAAATAGGGGCGTTTTTGGCAAGTAGAAAACTGCAAGTGCAGGAGATCTTGGCCAATCGCTGAAGAAATTTAGTATGTGGTACCTGTTGGTTTTTTGGCAAAGTCTCACATTGGTTGTGTATAAGGAGGAGGATAAATTCTTTTGTTATAAATAGAGCAATCCTCCTCCTTAGTTAAGCATCCCACAAATATAAGCTTTCTTCACTATTAAAGGCTATTTGTACTCTTTCTCTCTTTGTAATATTTCCTCTACTAGTGAAAAATTATTTTAGTAGTGTTCGAGGAGGTAGGCATAATTTTGGCCTAACCTCGTTAAATTTTGGTGTTCTCTTTATGTCTATTTAATAGCTATTGTCGGGTATAGTTGTTGTTAATTATTGTCCTATTAAAATTACTTGTCTTGGTAGTTCTGTCTAAGGAAAGTAGGTTTTAAGAGGGACCATTGTGACCCCTCCTCTTTCCTGGGAATCTATCTTGGTGTGATTTTTAGTACAATCATTTTCACATTAGTCACCTAGATAATAGTTTTCAAGGTGAATTTGTTATTATTGGTGGAAATTAACCCGAATTCCACAATAATTGGTATCAGCGCTCTTGGTTTATTTTAGTATGATCTGTGGTTGCGGCTTAGGCTGATCTTCCACATTAGAAAAAATTTCCTTGGGATAATTGGCATTCCACATTGACAGCTATTAAATAGAATTTGTAGCAGAAATGACAGACGCAACAAAAACATCCACATCGTCGTCAACAACTGTGATAAATGTTAGATTTGCAGTGGAGATTTTTTATGGCGTCGGTCATTTTGGCATGTGGCAAAGTGAGGTTCTAGATGCTCTATTTCAGCAGGGTCTAAACATTGTTATTGAAGGAGAGAAACTAGATGATGTCGAGGAGAAAGAATGGAAGAGGATCAATAGATTGACATGTGGTACTATTCGATCGTGTCTTTCTAGAGAGTAGAAGTATGCATTTTCTAAGGAAACTTCTGCAAGTAAATTGTGGAAGGCACTGGAGGAGAAATTTTTAAAGAAAAGCGGGCAGAACAAGCTCTACATGAAAAAGAGATTGTTCTGCTTCAACTATGTACCAAGTACCACTATGAATGATCACATTACTAGCTTTAATCAGCTGGTAACTGATCTGATGAATATGGTCGTGACTTTTGAAGACGAAGATCTGGCTCTGATGTTGATGGGATCACTTCCTGATGAGTTTGAGTATCTTGAAACTACTCTACTTCATGGGAAAGTTGATGTGTCTCTCAGTGAAGTAACTACTGCCTTGTATAGTTATGAATTGAGAAAGAAAGACAAACAAGAAAACACAAGTGTCGAAGCAGAAACTCTTGTTGTTAGAGGCCGTTCGAAGAGTCAGAATAAACGAAGGAGAGGGAGATCGAAGTCAAAGTCTAGATTGAGCAAAGATGAATGTGTCTTTTGCCGAGAAAAATGGCACTGGAAGAAAGAATGTCTCAGGCTAAAAAACAAAGGCAAACCTGAAAGGGGAAAGGTTGTCTCAGAATCAAATGTGGTCGAGTATGATGATGCAGATTCAGATTTCGCATTCGCTGCTACACCATCAACCAGCTGTTCTAGTTCATGGCTGTTAGATTCAGCTTGTAGCCACCATATGACCCCCAATAGAGAATGGTTCTTTGATTTTAAAGAACTAAAAGGTGGAATTGTCTACACAATAAATAATTCCCCTCTTGACACACTTGGGATTGGTTCAATTCGCTTGAGAAATCAGGATGGATCAATCAGAACCTTAACAGGTGTCCATTATATACCATATTAATGAGAAATCTCATCTTTGTGGGAACCTTAGAGTTAAAAGGTTTAGAAGTGAGGGCAAAAGATGGGATTATGAGGGTTATCTCTGGTGCACTGGTGATAATGAAGGGAATCCGGAAAAGAAACAATGTGTATTACTTTTTGGGTAGTACAATGGTTGGGACGACAGCAGTGACAGCTTCTACTGATGAAAAGGAGTCAGAAGCAACCAGGTTATGGCATATGCGCTTGGAGTATGCTGGTGAAAAATCCTTGAAATTACTGATAGATCAAGGATTATTGAAGGGTGCTCGAGCTTGTAAATTAGCTTGTTGTGAGCATTGCATCAAAGGGAAGAAGACGAGGGTGAAATTTGGAACAACAATCCATGATACTAAAGGTATTTTGGATTATGTTCATTCATATGTATGGGGGCCTTCCAAGACAACTTCATTGGGAGGAACACACTATTATGTCACCTTTGTTGATGATTTTTCCCGGAGAGTTTGGGTGTATACAATGAAGACAAAGGATGAGGTGCTAGGATTTTTCCTTAAATGGAAAAAGATGGTGGAGACTCAAACAGGCAGAAAAATCAAACGTCTCCGTACAGAGAATAGTGGAGAGTACAAAAATGATCCATTTCTAAAAGTCTGTGAAGAAGAAGGTATTGTCACACACTTCACTGTCAGATCTACACCACAACAAAATGGGGTGGTAGAGCGAATGAACCGGACATTAGTGGAGAAGGTTCGGTGTATGTTGTCTAATACTGGGTTAGACAAAGAATTTTGGGCTGAGGCTTTGGTCTATGCTTGTCATCTTGTCAACCGCTTACCATCTACTGCTATTGGTGGTAAAACACCATTAGAGAAATGGTTTAGAGAACCTTCTAGAGATTATGATTCCTTACATGTGTTTGGTTCCACTGCTTACTACCATGTTAAGGAGTCAAAGCTGGATCTAAGAGCAAAGAAGGCGATCTTTATGGGGATCACCTCTGGTGTGAAAGGCTATCGTTTTTGGTGTCCAGAAACAAAGAAAATAATCTTCAGCAGGGATGTTACCTTTGATGAATCTACCATGCTGAGAAAGGTGACTTCAGAAAAATTAGAGCAGACAGATGGAACTCCCAAACAGGTAGAGTTTGAAGGAAGCAGAATTCACCCAGCCAGAAAAGAAACTGATATTGACTCTCCTATGATAGAAGAATAGTCAGATAAAGAAGAGGTTCAGACCCAAGAACCTCTACAGCAACATGAATCAATTGCACTCAGAAAGGGAAATAGAACCATTAGACAACCTACTCGTTATGCTGATATGGTCTCTTTTGCATCACCAATTTCAATGGATGACGTTCCTGCCACTTTTAATGAAGCAGTCCAAAGTTCAGAACATAAAAAGTGGAGGATCGCCATGAATGAAGAAATGCAATCCCTTTAAAAGAATCAGACGTGGAAACTAGCTAGTCTTCCGAAGGGACATAAGGCAATTGGGTGCAAGTGGGTATATGCAAAGAAAGATGGATTTCCTGACAAGAATAACATCCGCTACAAAGCAAGATTGGTGGCTAAAGGCTACGCTCAAACGGAGGGAGTTGATTATAATGAAGTATTTTCTCCAGTTGTAAAAAATTCTTCCATCAGAATTTTGTTGGCTTTGGTAGCACAGTTGGATTTGGAACTAGTTCAGATGGATGTAAAAACTGCATTTTTACATGGAGACTTGGATGAGGAAATCTACATGACTTAGCCAGATGGATTCAAAGTTGCTGAAAAAGAAGAGATGGTGTGCAAATTAGAAAAATCGATATACGGATTGAAGCAATCTCCAAGGCAGTGGTACAAGCGATTTGACAAGTTTATGATAGGGTAGAAGTACACAAGAAGCAAATATGATCATTGTGTGTATTTACGCAAGCTACAAGACGGATCCTATATATATCTTATTCTTTATATTGATGACAAACTGATAGCTTCCAGGAGTCAGACAGAAATTACGAAACTAAAGACTCAATTGAATAGGGAGTTTGAGATGAAGGATCTTGGTGAAGAAAAGAAGATTCTAGGCATGGAGATATCAAGGGATAAGAAATTGGGGAGGCTTTGTTTGTCTCAGAAAGAATATCTGATGAATGTACTAAAACGTTTTGGCATGAATGAGAAGTCAAAACCAGTTAGTACACCTCTTGTTCCTCATTTCAAGCTCGATGCATCCATGCCACCTAAGGATGATGCATAACGGGAATACATGTCAAAGGTTTCGTATGCAAGTGTTGTTGGTAGCTTGATGTATGAAATGGTGTGTACGAGACCCGATATTTCACAGGCAGTTGGGGTTATGAGCAGGTATATGCATGATCCTAGAAAGGAACATTGGCAAGCTGTGAAATGGATTCTGCGGTATATTCTGAACACCGTAAATATTGGTTTGGTCTTTTAGCAGGACAAATAAGATGGTAAGTGTGTAGTTGGGTATTGTGATTCAGACTATGCAGGTGATTTGGACAAGCGTCGATCAACTACTGGTTATGTGTTTACATTTGCAAAGGCACCAGCCAGTTGGAAGTCCACCTTACAGTCAACAGTGGCTTTGTCTACTACAGAGGCAGAGTATATGGCAGTTACAAAGGCTGTGAAGGAGGCAATTTGGCTTCAAGGGTTGTTTGGTGAATTGGGAATGGAACAGAAGCACATCAAAGTGCATTGTGACAGTCAGAGTGCTATTCATTTAGCAAAGAACTAGGTTTACCATGCAAGGACGAAGCACATCGATGTTCGATATCACTTTGTACGAGAGATTCTAGAAGAAGGTGGAGTCATAATCCAGAAGATTCGGACCACTGAGAATCCTGCTGATATGTTGACAAAAGTAGTAACTGCGGTCAAGTTTAAACATTGTTTAGACTTGGTCAATATTGTTACAAATTGAAAGATGAATTTGCAGACACTACTGAAGATCAGATTTTTGAGAGATGTGTGTGGAATTTGCCTGGTGGAGATTTGTTGGTTTTTTGGCAAAGTCCCACATTGGTTGTGTATAAGGAGGAGGGGAAATTCTTTTGTTATAAATAGAGCCATCCTCCTCCTTAGTTAAGCATCCCACAAATATAAGCCTTCTTCACTATTAAAGGCTATTTGTACTCTTTCTCTCTTTGTAATATTTCCTCTACTAGTGAAAAATTATTTTAGTAGTGTTCGAGGAGGTAGGCATAATTTTGGCCTAACCTCGTTAAATTTTGGTGTTCTCTTTATATCTATTTAATAGCTATTGTCGGGTATAGTTGTTGTTAATTATTATCCTATTAAAATTAGTTGTATTGGTAGTTCTGTCTAAGGAAAGTGGGTTTTAAGAGGGACCATTGTGACCCCTCCTCTTTACTGGAAATCTACCTTGGTGTGATTTTTAGTACAATCGTTTTCACACTAGTCACCTAGATAATAGTTTTCAAGGTGAATTTGTTATTATTGGTGGAAATTAACCCGAATTCCACAACAATACCTCTGTCTGTGTTACTAATACTATTACTTTAATATGATACCAAAATTCTCTAAGTTTAAATTAAACTTAGTGGTATGTGAGCTTTTTCAACTTTTGGAAAAAATTATGTGTTCTTCAAAAAAAGATATTAACAAAATAATGTGGTATATTCAATTTATTTTGCATATAACGTGACCTAATTTAGATAACAAAATAAATTATTAAAAACCTAAAAATATACTTAAAATTAAAATATTTACAAACTGATAATGGTAAATTATAGTAAAAATATTTACAAGTATTAAAATGTTCAAAAGCTCCGTAAAAGTGAGTGTGCTTTATATGCTTAATGTGCGATGTATTAGGGCTTGAGAATAGCCTTTGAATTATTTGAAAAATGTGGTTAGTCGAATGCATAATTATTCAAATTACTTAATATATTTCATAACTATGTTCAAATGTAAAATTCTTATTTATCAATTAATTTAGTAAAAATATTGTATAAATATGTATGATATGAATGCATAATGAAAACATGTTTAATATATATATATATATATATATATATATATATATATATATATATATGTATATAAAAGTAAAAGCATGCTACCTTTGCTAGTTTGACTGTATGAATAGATTTAATTTGTCTTTGTGTATATATAATACATACATATATTATATATAACAGGTTGATTATGTTATCATATGATATCCTAGTAAATAACATATTTCAAACATTATTTATGTGAAAGTAATTTATTACAGAGACTATATGTATATTTGTGACATGCTTAAATGTCTAAATGAATTAGATAGATTAAATCATAAATATAAAAGGATTTTAAAATGATTCGGTTACAGAAATGATGGAATATATTTCTCTTATTTTATAGGATAAATAATATAAATTGTACCATTATATGATAAATTATAGTATTATATGCCAAAAAAGTATATATAAAATACTAAAAAGTAACAATATAGAGATAATATTATATTTTTGACTAAAAATATATTAACTAAATAATAATAGATTAAAGTTAATTAGAGACAATAAACTTTTTTTTCAATAAAAAAATTTATGCGGCCAGCTCTATACAAATCGAGAGGTGAACCCTATATTTAGGAGGTTGGATAAATGTTGTAACCAATTACGTAAGTAGTTTGGACATTGATTTGGAATCGGGATCTGAAAAGTTGCAATAGGGTGCGGCATTGTGACGTTGGATTGTCACCCTCCCAACTATATCTTAATAAAAGGTTGCATCATCTGATTCCACTGTTATAAATATGCTAATAGAACTAGTAAATCATCTTCTTCATCATCCTAAATTTTATGTTAAGGTATCTGAACAAAAGGGGTACATTTATATAAATATATAAGTGATATTAATCATTTTTAATAACATCATTACTATATGATAATATTAAAAACATCATAGTTATAACATGTCACAATCTTAAAATGTGACATATCACAAATTAATGATAAAATTATCAACTTAGAAGAATGTGTAAAGGATAGAACTAATTTAGCAAGTAAGACCTTTATCAACTCGGAACAATGGTCAATGTCCTATTACGGAACTTGATATCAAAATCCACAAGTGTGTGATTTCCACAGGGTCTAAAAGAGTGATTTCCTTCTTTTGAAGAAGAAGAAGAAGACTGAAAATTTGTTAAGGAAGGAGATGGTTTTCAGAACATTTAAAAGTAGTTTGAAGTATCCCCCACCCATTCCGTTACAGAACTCCAATTTATTACTGAATTTATGAATGGAACTTGGAATTAATGAAAAAAAGCTACATATATATGAATTGACAGTGTGGTCCTTAGTGATAAGGTAGTTGATTGTAGGCTGGGGAATATAAATGAAAATTGCAGGGAGGGGAGGCCGAATGGTGAATAATTTGGGCTCAAATTAGGCAGTACAAAGATGGATTTAAGACAGCTTCACAGGCAACACATGCAATAACCGGGACTAGCCTGCCCTGGAATCTCAACTCTATTAAAAGCTTTCACCCGCTAACTTAAATGCCTTTCTGCCATCCTCCAAACCTTAACTTCTCTTCGGAAATTCGGGTACCTGTCTTATCGGATCTAAATTGTCGGATTCCCATGCAACCAAAAGCAAGTTTGAGAAATTTGAGTTTTGAAACATACTCATTGTCATGTAAATGAAAGTTTAAAAAGGAATGCTATTACAAGACAATAGCATGGAATAATTCTGAAACAGAAACAGCAAACATAATTTTAATGGTATAGATAAATTCTGAAACCCAGCCGGCAAAACACAATTATTGATACAAGCTCTTTATAACATCTTACAATTGCAAAAATCATATGTGATGACTTCTCTATGAGGAAGTCACCAGGGTGAACTCTACAATCCATATAATAAGCTTGAAGCTGAGGCATTCAACTGGGGGAGACAGACAGAACCCGGATTCACCATCTTAACTTTGCTGGGAAGTACTGCAGAAAAAAAAATTGCAGGATGTTTAAGGTCGAAAACTGTGTTGGACATGACAAGGATTAGTATCTAAAACAAAGCTCTAGTTTGCAGCGCTCACCTTCTCAATGAGAGAGAGATAATATGGCTTGACCTTCCCAACATCCACCCGGACTTTGCTCTTGCTGTAAAGATCATACTTGCTGCAGAATTGTAAGTGGAAAAAGCTTGTTTAGTATTAGATAAGAATCAGGGCAAATATAAGATTCCAAAGTACAGAAGGAAAGCAAAATTCAGTACTTGAATATATGGAGCCACTTCAGATTCTCATCATCCTCCTCATTCATTAGGTGCTTGTATGCTCCTGACTTATGCAATGCTGCAACAACATAACATGCCTCGGTTTGGCATATAAGTTGGAATTGAAATCAAGTCTTTGCAGAGTTGGAATAATAAAAAAAATGAAGCCGGCTTTTATTTCTTTTTCATACCGTAGAACGAATGGTATCGAATGATGAAAAGAGCTGCCGGTGGCAGAGTTGTATTGTTCTCCTTAGCCACCTGAATATAGATAACAAAACCTGTTAGTATCATTGCACTTTCTACATGTCTAAAACGGTATTTTTTAAGGTAAAAAATTCGGACACAAATGTCAGATATATACCAGATACATGTAGTCATCATGCCCCCATGACATCATCACATTGTTGAGTCCACATCCCTCTGAGTACAACCCACACTTAGTGTTGTAATCAGGGTTATGATGGTCGGGATTTTCCTCGAAATACTGTTCCAACAAAGTGCATAACTTCAGAAATCTTTAGATACAATGACTTTATTCAAAAGAAATGCTTTGTTTTTCAAACTTTTTTTTTCTTGTTTGATAGATATAGAGATTCAGAATCTGAAAAGGAATTACCTTGTAGTGAACAACTGACTTGTCGAAAGCACAACCAACAGGAAATGTGTCACCTATAACACCAACGATCACGTTTCAAGTTCAAACATAAGATTGTTCAATTGGAGTTTGACATTATTCTACAATAATGAGACTCACCTACAACAGCCCACTGAGAAAGCTCTCCAAATCCAGGATGAAGAAGCACCTTTCCAAGGTCTATACCCAAAGGAAACAAAGCATATAGTTATTAAAATTCCGAAGAATACGAAACCAAACGAGTCAGGATCACTCAAGCATACCATGGATAAGGCCTGTCAGGTGCAGCCAATCCTCATCAGGATAGTCCTTTCGGATAGCCTCGGCCGTTTGCAGCAAGTGTTCGACCTGAGGTTCATCCAAGTCAGGGTCACTCTCGTCGATTACATCGTTAAGAAGTTCGCAGCATTCCCATATGCCCATCTCCATCTTGTTCAGCTTACCATACTCTTCTCTCATTCTCTTGACCTGCAATTGAATAGATTCATCAGTCCACTAATTTACAATGTATGAATAATATATATAGCAGTGTGCATCAACTAATTGCACATAGAAAAGCACAGGTTGCTTACAAAGTCATAAGTCTGGCTAATATGATTGATTCGGTAGAAGTTCTCGACACCCTGTTGCCTCTCACTTTCGACATCATAATCTCTGTTTTCATATATAAAGCAGATTAATCAATCAACCATTCAGTGTAAAAGTCTATGCAAGATGACATTCGTGGTTTAGATACATATTTATAATCATCTAGTCTTAAGACTCTCCCAGCTCTAAATAAAAACAAGTATACTACTCTACACCTTGTATTGTTTATGCTATTTTGACCATAATTACATACTATTATTAGAATTATTGTCGTATACCCATTGCCCTTTGTTTCACTCTCAAGAAAACAAAAAAGGCATGATATAGCTAGGTAAAAAGAGCTACCTAAAAGTGTGACCAAAAGAGTTGGTCTGTGGTACCAAAAATCCCCCATCCAACACCAGTTCAATCTCAGCATTGTCGACCTTGCTAAACCCTGATTCAACACCTGAGAAAAAAACAAAGGAATTACTAAAATGATCTTGTATACAGGTCATCATTGATTATCGAACTTCAATAAATTATATCTTTGTACAGATCAATGATAATATATAGTATTACTAGTAGATCGACTTATTAACAAAATCACACTACTGCCGAAACAGATTTGTGTTTAAAAAAAATTATGAGCTACAAGACGATGTTATATAATACCCGAAAATATTTTGATTCAAGAACATGTAAATCTATCAGAACAACATTGAAGAATTAACTTTTCTTAGGGGGGGAAAAAGAGGAAGCAACAGAAATCATAAGGAATTACCACCCTCGGGATGATCAATGAGGATAGTCATCTTGATCAAGAGAGAAGCTTAATGTCTCAGAAACTGAGAGGATTTAGTGAAGTTGAATGCAAGGTTTGTTGCGGATTCGGCCATAAAAAGTGGTTGGTATTTATAGCCAGTCGGAAGACATTTATTCTGACAATTCCAACAATCATTTGGCGTTTACCGAAAAATCTAAACTTTCTTTCTTTGCTACAGGTTTAATATGACAAAAATACCTAACTATTTTTGTTTTGTCAAAAAGTTCCTTCGAGCTAATAATATATATTCAACATTACAAACGTGGTTATTATTTTAAGATTAAATTACAAATTTTATAATTGAACTTTCATCCGATTCCTATTGTTTTGTTTACATTACAAATTTTTAATTTGCTCATTCAACTTTAAAGATTGAATTTTTTAATCATTGTACCATTAAAAGTCTGACGTCGTGTTGACGTGGAATATTTTAATGGTTAATATGCCACAGTGGATTTCCACATAATAAAATTAAATTAAAAATAGAAATATTTTTTAATTATTCTTTGGTTATTTTTAAACCTTATAAACAAAATCCTTAACCTTAGAAAATTATCATGAAAAGGGAAAAACTGGGTGAAGAAGAAGATGGAATCAATGGGTGAGTCAGTCAATTTCGATTTGTAGGTGTGGAATTTCGACGGCGTTGAAGACGGCATGGTCGGATGAAAACCCTGGAATGCGATTTTTCGACTGTAGCAACTATGGCAGTAGATGGCGCAAATCGTGCAATTATTTTCAATGGTATGAGCCACCAATGATTCCTCGTGCGAAGATCCTTATGCTTGTTGTTTTAAGAAGAATACGAGCAGTTGAACAAGAAAGAAAAAATGAGAGACTTATTTGGGTTTTTGCTGTGATTTTCACCGTTTTCTCACCTATATTTTGTCAAGGTGATTGGCATTTTGTTATGGGTTTTGAAATGTTGAAGACGATTTGATGGTGTTTAGGTTAAGGATATTTTGTTAAGGGTCATCAAGCTTAGGTTAAGGGACATTGGCATTTTGATGAGGTTTTGTGAATTGGGTAGTGGAAGATGTAAGGGTGTTCAAATGTTAAGGATGCTTTGCTAAGTATTTTAAATTGTGAAGGATATATTGTTAAGTACTTTGAATTGTTAAGACAAGTTTGGATGAAAGTAATGTGTGAAATGTGCGTCACGACCGTCTTTTGGTTGAGTCCGAAATTGAGTTTCGACTTAAAATAATGAGTTAGAGTCGCCACCGATCATTTTAAAAAACATTTAGGTGGATCAGACACCATCTTACATGATCTGCGTTTTACCAGAAATGTGTCGGGTTCGAGAGTCAGTTACAGTCAATGAAGGATTAGCACCCTTGTACTGCCCTTTCGATACCAATTAATTTGTCGGTTGTCTTAACCGCGAAAATTAAAAAAAATTAAATTAAAATTTAAAAACCCGATTCGAATTGCTTACCTTTGATAGATTGGAATTATAACTGAAAAAATATGTTAGAAAAAAAATTAAAAAAAATATGAAAAAGAAGAAAGGAAAAAAAGTTAATATAATAATAATAAAAAAAGAAAATAGATAAATAAAAATAAATAAAATTTAGTAAAAAGAAAAATAATAAAATTGAAAAAATTGAAAAATAAATAAAATAATAAAACAAAATAATAATAATAATAATAATAATAATAAATAAAAAAACAAAAAAAAGTGAGGAAAAAAAAGAAATAATAACAAAAGGTTAAATTCTAAAAAAATGAAAAAAAATGTTAAAGGATCCCCTAGTAATTAAAAAAAATATCAAATGCACAAAATTAGTGATTAAAATGTAATTATTATAAATTAAGAGATCGAAAATAAATAAATAAAAAAATTAAATTTCATTAGTGACCAAAATAAAGCATGCATAAAATTGGAAATCAAAATTAAAAATACTGAAAATAAACTTCAGTGACTAAAATGTAAAAATTATAAATTGTAGGGACTGCAGATGGGGTTTACCACTTTCAAAATTAAGCATAGATCTTTCCCCAAACGACGTAGTTTTGAGAGGATATTTATACCCCTTCAACGGGCCATTAAGGCAAAAAATCCTCATTTGTTCATTTTTTATTCTCTCTCTAGGAGAGAGAAACTCTCACTTCTCTCTAGCTTTCCCTCATCGGAGAGAAATCGGCCAACGACCGGTCGTCACTGTCAGCGGCCGGAAAAACCAAAATCTCCTAAAATGTTCCCTTCAACATCAACCCGAAGCCCAAATCTCCCCTCTTCGGTTTTGGTGCTTGGCTTCTCTTGATATTTTATGTGTGGTTGGGTATTTTGTGTTTGTGTGGTTTTCGTAGTTTATGTCTCTGTACTGATCCTTGTGGTTCGATTGATTTGTGTTATGTTTCTCTGTTTGGTTTCATTGTATTTCGATGTTTTTATGGTCGGTTCTCGATCTTGATTGTTGATCTTGTTGATGGTCCCTTTGTTGCTCTCAGTCGAGGCTTTTATAACCCCCATGGCCGACTGTTTTGAGCCCCGAAATGAGGGGGTTCGTGGTTATTATTTGTTGTTGGTTGACCGAACACCCCAGGATGGTTCAGTCCCGGGGATCTCGGCCGGAGACTGCTGGTCGTTTGGGCGCGTGGTCGCCATGCGCGTAACCTGTTTCACCATGTGGTGCCCTTGCTTTGCATGACTAGGGTTTTGCAAACCCTAAACTACACTGGGCTAGATCAAACACAAACCCGATTGGATTTTTGTTGGACCCGAACCTTGGACCTATTGGACCCTGAAAAAATAAGTAAATAAATAAAATTAAATAAATAATAATTAAAAATATTAATATAATATATAATAATAAAAATAAATTTTTAAAATTATATATCATATATGCGTTTTTAAAATAATTATTTTCAAAACCATATAATATAATATGTTTTCAAAATGTTTTAAAAACTATATATTATATATATTTTTAAAATGTTTTAAAAACTATATATTATATATTTATTTTCAAAATGTTTTAAAAACTATATATTATATATATTTTTTCAAAATGTTTTAAAAACTATATATTATATAAGTTTTTGAAATGTTTTAAAAACTATATATTATATAAGTATTTTCAAAATATTTTAAAAACTATATATTATATAAGTTTTCAAAAGGTTTTAAAAACTATATATTATATAAGTATTTTCAAAATGTTTTAAAAACTATATATTATATAAGTTTCAAAATGTTTTAAAAACTATATATTATATAAGTTTTCAAAATGTTTTAAAAACTATATATATATATATATATATATATATATATATATATATATATATATATATATATATATTTCAAAAACTAGAAAAATTATACGGTGTTAAAAAAAACCCAGACGAAAATGAGTGTCTACAATGTGTAACGTATTTTGTAACAACTAATGAACAAAATCCAAAACAGTTTCATACATAAGCAATAAAATGGAACATTAGTTGAAAAAAAAAAACCAACAATTGAACAAGATCAAAATAGTTAAAATAAAAGAACAAAGTGAAATATTTATAAAATGAATTTAAATACATATAAAACAATAATTGAACAAAATAAACTATTGTTTGTATAGATTAATTTGAGCATTTGTTCATACATATCTAAGTAATCTTTTTTTTAAAAAAAATCTTCACCGGTAATTTGTAGCATTTCTACTAATAACTTTGTGAAATAAAACTCAAAAAGACCAATCATTTTGTTTTACAAAAAGTAATATTCACCAGCATGATATTACCCTAAATCCCAAAAAATTACATCAAATGACAATTGTTTGACATATTGGTTATCACAAATCACAAAAGTTGTTTCACAAAAAAATCTTGGTTCATTTTCATGTCCACCTGGGCCTCTTTGAAGTAGGATCACCTGTTTGAGGTTGGATGATAGAACTTTGTTGAGAAAGCATCATCCATCTAACTGTCATGCCTGAGCCTTGTGTGTTCTGGCTCCCTTGATGAGGTTGGCTTGGACATTCTAGATTGGATCTTATTGGTCTCCTAATCTACAAATTAAAAAAAATGCATACATTATAATACCAAAAAATGACAAACCATAGACATAAATAAATACTTATGTAAACCTTACAAGTAATTTGGCAGTTTTATTCACTTGTGCTTGAGGTTGTGTAGCAGAAGGCATCATCCACCTGACTATGTGATCAAGTCTTGTGTGTTTTAGCTCCTTTGTTGTTGGTGGTTTGGACCTATTGGATTCAACCCTGTTGGTCTCATAACTTACAAACAATTAATTTAGTATATATTTAAATTATTATTCCAACACAATTAAAACAATTTATAGAAATATTTATTAAAAACTTACATGATTGATGACTAGTTGTAAACACTCATTTTCGTCCGAATTTATTTTATTTTATTTTATTATATATATATATATATATATATATATTATAGTTTGCAAATGATTTTTGAAAATATATATAATATATAGTTTTGAAAACAATTTTTGAAAATGTATATATATTATAGAGTTTTTTAAAACATTTTGAAAATTATATAACATATGGTTTTTTAAAAAATATTTTAAAAATATATTAAAAATATATATAATATATAGTTTTTGAAAACCTTTTAAAAACTTATATAATATGTAGTTTTGAAATCATTTTGAAAACTTATATAATATATAGTTTTAAAAAAACATTTTGAAAATATATATAATATATGATTTTTAAAACATTTTGAAAACTATATAATATATAGTTTGAAAACTTTTAAAAAAAGTATATATATATAATATATAGTTTGAAAACTTTTAAAAAAAGTATATATATATATAATATATAGTTTGAACACTTTTTTTAAAAATTTATATATATAATATATAGTTTTATTTTTTTGAAAATATATATTATTATTATTATTGTTATTATTATTATTATTTATTTTTATTTAATTTAATTTAATTTTATTTTTGTCCAAGGTCCAATGCGTTCAAAGTGGGCAAGAGCCCAAGTCAAGGTTCGTGTC